TACTACATTTAATTTTTTTATAACATTAATTTATTCTCACAAATATTTTCTTTCTTTCTTTTTTCTCTTTTTGATAAAATCTTTTTTTTTAATGACAACTCACACGTCAAATTAATTGATTAAATAAATAGAATTATCATAAACAAAACAGGTAAAACAAAGACATACATTTAATTCTTAAATATTTAATATGACAGACATTCAAATTCTAATAATTTAACACCTTGATATTTTAATATTTATCTCCATGACCAAATAAAATCACCACCCAAATGGAATGTAAAGTAAATTGACCTTGTAAAAAAAAGTGGTTGCTTAGAGAAAAACAGTTGGGGAGGGATGTCCAGTGGCCTCTCTCTTCCTCTTTCTCCTCTCTGGATGTATGTTTCTTTTTAATGCATTATTTTTTTTTTGTTGGATAAAAATAAAATGTAAAGTGAAGTTGTTAATAAATATTTTATTACTTGTTAATGGTGGATACATTTAGAATTAATAAAAACGGTTTCACAATTTAAGTAAAATTTTTAAAACCAAAGAAAAAAAAACAAAAAAAAAAAGAGAAACAGTTTTGGAAATTTTATTAGAAACAGTTTTGGAAATTTTATTACTGGTTGAACTAAAATATGCTTGATATGCAGAAAATATATTACAGAAATTATGAGTAAACAAGGATAATTATTAAAAATAGAAAAATTGTAGCTTTCTATTATTTAAAATGGTACATGTTCTCTCACAGTTCCGTTTGTATATTTCGTATATTTTTGTATGTATTTTGAAATATATATATATATATATATTTTAATGAATTAAAGAGAAGTCAAGGGGTGTCCTAATCTGTTAAGTCATATTTCCTTCACAAGTCATATGGAGAGAAATCATTCCAAGAAATAAAATATTTCTACAAAGGACAATTTACCTTAAATTTATAATTAATTTCATATAACCTTCTTACTATTTTTTCTCTAAATCCAAATGAAAAATTTATCTGAAAATAAAAGACTAAATGAAAGAATAATAAATATGAAAATGTTTTCATATAATGAAAATTTCTTAATTAAATGAAATTTTTTATTCATTTTGCTATAATTATTGATTTGAAAGGTAGTTTCATGTAACATCAATAGCATAGTGATAAAGAGGGAAAAAAAATCTTTCTTTTTTTTAAAAAAATAATTTGTTACCATATTTATGTAACATTAATATAATTTAACATGTATTTTTCTTTCATGAACTTCACAATTTTTTCCTATACAAATTATTTTTTCTTTTTTAAATTGTCTTTTGTCGACATCCTTTTTTGTCTTTATAAATATTTAAATCTAAAAAATTTGTCCTTGACTTTCACGAATTTCCGCACTTAAATCTCCACCATACAAACATAACGTTAGCCTAGTTCATTGTCCATACCTAGAGGCTACAATATTTAATTACATTATTAAACTTAAGATTTAGCTTCTAGGTTTTTTTTTTTAATAACAGAGAGTTAGAGCGGGTGTACCCGCTCCACCCGCTCCCAGGCTCAAATCCAAAAGATATCAAAATATTTTAGTATTAAGCTCAATTGAGACCTCTAAACTAGTATGACCAAAAGATCCAAATTCTTACCAACTTGACTACTCTTCAAGATCTATTTAGCTTCTAATTATTAATGTCCACACCTAAAAACTTAAGTTAAAGTTTAAATACCTTATTTAAGATTTCACAAAATGTGTACGTATACCTACAATTTAATAATTAAAAAAAAACATTACTATTTTGGTCTCTATACTTTGAATTTTTTATTTATTTTAGTTCTTGTACTATGAAAATGACTAGTTCGGATCATATTTACAAAAATTTAACACAAATTAAACTCAATTGAAACACTTTTGTATAAATTTAGTGACGACAAGTTAAGAAATTTAGTGTGTGAAGTGTGGTGCTTGAATTATGATTGAGTTCAAATCTACGTAGACTAAAATAAATAGACATTGAAAGTAAGAGAACTAAAATAGACATTTTTAAAGTACAGAATCAATCAAAAGCCAAAAACACAAGTACACAAGACCATCGTGATAGTATTTAAACTAAAAAAATAACCAGTTTTTAATTTATATATGATATCTTCCTTGCTTACAAGTAAAATCTTATCTACAATCAGTATGCAAAACAAATATTTCAATTTAAAATTAAAAATAAATTAAGTCAATTTGACAGTTACTTTTTTATTTTTTATTTTTTGAGAAAACATTTGACAGTTATTTTAATGCTTGATTTCTTTTTTACTTTCTCTATGTTCTACCCAAATCTCTTTAAAAAAAAAAAACAGTATTCGTATATGAAAAAAATAATCTTGGGAGTTCGAATTTTTCAAGACTGAAAACCGCCGTTGAAAATTCCACAAAAGAAAATTAAGTTTCTTAACGCTTCAATTATGGAAAAGCTTAGAAACCCTAAATCAGTAAATAAATAACTGGTAACATTTTTTCTAATTTTATTTCGATACTATGAACAAAATAAAAAAGATTTACGAATATCTACGTCCTTACAATTACAAAATTAAGAACAAAAAAAAAGGAAAAAGTGAGAAGGAAATTACAGGCGAATTATTCCGGAATCTGAATCGAAGCATTCCGAATTATCAATTCCCCTTCCGGTTATAACTTGACATAAGCTGCAAAAATCCGAGAACAATTTCGTTTCTGAACTCTTAAAAATCCAAAATCGAAAACAAAATTCACCACAGCAGCAACTCAATAACATTAAATTTCATACTGATTCATCGAACACGAATCGGATTATTTCAAAGAATTCAATCACAGAGATTTCCAGATTTCGTTCATCGTCATCGAAATCAACAACTAAGAGGAGGAAGATCAGAGGAATTACCAGACGCGGCGGTGGATTGCTTGAAAAATCTACTCCCAAACAAGAAGAATCCGAGGCAATGGCCGCCGACGGCGACGAGAAACACTCCTACATTGAACGACATGACGGCGAGCATCACCAAATAGGCCAATCCAACCCTAACGGTGTGCAACAGAGTCCGGATCAGGCCGGCCGCCGCCGCGCTGGAATCCTCCTTGATCAATCTGGAATGCGAGAGGCACTCGACGAGGAAAGCGAGCGCGAAGACGAAGAGCAAGGCCAAGACGTACAT